CCTATTTGTATTTTCAGTGGCATGGATAATTATTTTTATGTAGATCATTATTTTATTATTAATATTCAATGGTATAGATCACATTTGTGTTTAAGCAAACTAAAATCTGACCAGATTTTATTATGTGGTATAAGCCATAATGCACTTAATTCTTTTGCAGTATGTATTTATGTTTCTTTGACTGTATAAGAACAGCTCTTTTGATTACTTGAAATAGCTACCTGATTTTTCTTCATTTTAAGGGAATAATATAGCAAAATTAACATAAGATTCATGCTTTGATGAAACATTTTAGGTCATCTGAACAAATTAGTAAGATTGGCAATACAGAACTAGGATTGACAGCAATGGCTATCTTTTCTTGAGCCCTCACATTTCAGGTGCTTTACCTACATCATTTAGTGAATCCTCATAATAATCCTGGGGTTGGTAGTACTATCCCCATTTACAGACTGGATTCCTCAAGGCTTGGATAGGTTAAGTACTGAAAGTCATTGTGACTACAGGAAAGACATTATTTTGAAAAGTTATTTCAATGGCCATGTGGAACAGCATTTATTTGTACAAATTCTGGAATCATTAAAATGAATAAATTGCCTTTATAATCAGGAATACATAAATAAAAAATGTGAATTTCTAAAAAACCCAAACTGAAGATCTTGGGACACTCCTCACATTGGAATGGCTTTTGGGCTCCGTGGAATCTTTCTTGGTGTCCCCCACATGTGGAGTTTCCCTCATTGTTCTGGTGGGTAAGAGCAGGCTCAAGGGTGATCTGGTCTGACCTGGAGAGAAACACTGGTCCCACCTCCATAAGGAGATCTTGATTAGAGGGTCCTTTTAGGGTCCTTCCTGAGACCTGGAGGTGCCTAGACGTGCTCTTCTGGAGCTGAGTGGATTCTCCAAAGAAACACCTCCCTCTTCAGGCCTCTCCCTGGATAATGAATAGGGAAGGTGTTTGGTTGCCTTGACTAGCAATACTGTCATTTACTTCAGTAGTTTTCAAAGAAATGTTGCCACCATTTTCTTTATCTTCATCTCCTTGTCCTTCATACTTTGCAGAGAAGTATCTTGGGGAGTCCAGAAGGGTGTCCTCACATTTGCCTCTGTTGGGATCCAATTGGCAACTATTTTGTTAGATGAACAATGATTTCTCTTAAGGGCACATCCTCAGAAAAGAGGACTTCCTGTCCCTGCATGCGCACGTGAACCAAGCCAGGGGGCTTCATGCAATCACCACTCACGTCTTCCATGAATGTCTCCAGGTTTCTGCCACATGATTCCCATTCTTCCTTCAGTGTGGAGCTGTCACTGCAGTACCTGCTGATCATAAACTGTTCTAGGACACTTGAAAAATCACTTCATTCTTGCTGTTTTTCTGGCTGCAGCCATGAGTGAAATGACTTATAGAGTCTTTGCAGTGTCTGCCTTGTACATGAGTTATTGCTGTTTTGAAATAAGCTGAGCTGAGTGATCTGAAACCCAGATACACCTCTAGCCCCCACCTTTTGGAGAGCAGGTCTTTGGCTAGGTTTAAAGTCCATATTTTCTAACTTATAGTCATCCCTGCATGATTCAGATAGAAATGAGGTTCTGAGGTCTAAACCCATTCTAAACAATATTTCTCACAGACTCAATTTCCAAGATTCAATTCTTTAACTCCTTTGTTGATCGTGGTGGATGCTTAGAAGACCGTGAGCTCCTCGAGAAGAATGAACTTCAAACTGGGTAATCCTGGAACAAAGGCTGAGCTGCTGTATGACTGGCTGTCTGCACTGGGTTCATCTGACGGTTTAATATTTTAAAAATCAGCTTATTTATTCATTCATAAAACATTTATAGACTATCTCCTAATAAATTCTGTATATTTTAGTTTATATTGTATTAAAAAAGATATGATGACTTTTTTTTTTAAGTAAAGAATTGGCACTCATGTTCATTTTAGTAATATTAATTCCAATAAGTTAAAATCAAAACAGAGCTAGAAACCAAGGAATGGATGTTTGAAAACCTAGGACTGGGAAATTTGTTTTATGCTATGGTGATGAACTTTTAAAATTTATTTGAACTCTTGTTCAGGAAAATATTTAGGTTCTCCTTAGATGGCTTAAGGACCAATTGTCTAGCTGTGGATTTTATTTGAAAACCATGAAATTGAAAAAAAAAAGTTTCCTTTTATAAAAGGCTCCAGAATAAATAACTTCTTTAAAGTTTTCTCTAAAGTCTCACATATTCTCTGTAAAAATTACCAGTATTATTTCTTTTGAGATGATGAACTATACATCCAAAGAACAAAATATTCCCTGAATCTGTTTAGAGTACATAAGATCTGTTCCAAATGTTTGCCATGTACCCTCAGGAATCTGGTAGAGTCTTAGCTGGTTTTGCTCAGTGGTAGAGCTTTGGCTGTGGACTTGGGTATTGGATTCGATTCCGGTCAAGGGCACGTACCTCGGTTGCAGGCTCAATACAGTTGGGGCACCTATGGGAGGCAATCAATAGTTGTGTCTCTCTCACATCGATGTTTCTCTCTTTTTGTCCCTCCTTTCTACTCTCTAAAACAATCAATGTAAAAATATCCTTGGGTGAGGAGTAACAATGAATAATAATCTGGTAGACATTAAAAAACAAAAAATACAGCCTTAGCTGGTATGGCTCAGTGGATAGAGTGTTGGCCTGTGGACTGAAGGGTCCCAGGTTGGATTCCAGTCAAGGGCACATGCCTGGGTTGCAGGCTCGATCCCCAGTGGGGGGTGTGCAGGAGGCAGCCAATCAATGATTCTCTCTCATCATTGATGTTTCTATCTCTCCTTCTCTCCTCCTCTCTGAAATCAATAAAAAATATTAAAAATAAAAAACAAAAAATACAGAAATTTGTATATAATCTTGAGATGGTTAACAGCACAGAATTATGCAAAGTCCTAGCAAGTATATCATAAATTTGATCATTTGGACATATAAACACTTAGTAAACTTACCTTAATAAAATCAGATTGAAAATACACATAAAACTATGAAGTGGAAAGATCTTTGGCTTGGGAGTAAATATTAGTTCTGATTCTACTGCTAGTAGGTATTGGATTTCTTTTTAGGGGGCAAAATGATTTTGTAATTAGTGGTATAGTTGCACGACTTTGTGAATATACTAACAACCACTAAATTGTACACGTTAAAGAATTAACTTTCTGGTATGTAAATCATATCTCGATTAACATAAAATTCTGGTCCCACAATTTTTGCCTTTATGTAGCTATGCAATCTCTTTCTAGCTTCATCGAGATATAATTGACATACAACATTGTTTAAGTTAAGGTGATGATTTATGTTTATATTGTGAAATGATTAACACAATAAGGTTAGTTAGCATACCCATCACCTCACATAATTGTAATTTTTTGTGTGTGTGCAATGAGAACATTTAAGATCCACTCTTGGCTACTTCCAAATATATGATACAGTATCACTAACCACACCGAATATAGATCCTCAGAACATATTCATCCTATGACTGGAGCTTTGTACCCTTCAATTAGCATCTCCTCACTTTTCCCACCCTCCAGCCCCTGGCAATCACCATTCTAGTCTCTATTTCTGAGTTTGGCTTTTTTTTTTTTTTTTTTTAGATTTCACATAAGTGAGGTCATATTTGCTTTCTCTGCCTGACTTTTTTCACTTAGCACAATGCCCTCAAAGTCCATTCATATTGTCTCAAATGACAAGATTTCCTTGTTATGGCTGAAAATTTTATATATATACTTGCACATCACATTTTCTTTATCCATTCATCTGTCAGTGGACACTTAGGTTATTTCAATATTTTGACTATAATGATGCAATAAATATGAAGGTACAGATGTCCTTCAAGAGAGTGATTTCATTTCCTTCAGATAGATAACCAGTGAGATTGCTGCATCATTTTGCTGTCCAAGGGGAACTCCGTTGCTTGTGGGGCTCTTGGGGTGCCGCTGAAATAAGCATTTTCAGAAGCCACCAGGGGAGGATGAGAGGTGGTAGAAGATTTTTTTGGTGTGGAGTTACATTCCTCCGTTTCTAATGTCCTATTTCCCCCAACCAGTCAGGAAAGAGGGGCAGCTGGGAGTTCAGCAAAGCCAGAAACAGGGCCACTGTCCAGAGTTTCTGTTCCATGTTGCAGCCAGGTGTGGTTTAGCACTCAAGCCAGAATAAAGCCCGTTAGTCCACGTGTGGATCCAACGTGGCCGTGGGCCATGGGGGCACAGTGAGGCGCAGCTCCCTGCAGCAGGAGTCACAGGAGCCAAGAGAGGGCGGTTCCTTTGTCTAGAAGTTTATATATTCAGGTTTCTCTGGCTTGCGGTGGCCACGCCCATCCTGGTCACTGACTTGCTTTCAAGTGAGATTGAAGGGCAATCACTCTCTCACTTCACTTAGAGTCTTAGACCTTACTGGGCTTGTGTCTGAACTGCCTCTTACAGTCCCTTCCGCCTTCAGTCAGCGGGGAACAGACTTAGAGAGTGTTAAATGCAGTTTTTTGCAAAGCTATATGAATGTCATGCCTACATTATTTGGTCTCCCCTTTCACTCCTATCCTGTTAAATAATAACCAGTTTATTACAACAGCATTATTCCTCCCTGAGAAAAATAGAACCTCTTTATAATCCTACTAGAGGCCTGGTGCACGAGATTTGTGCAGGGGGGGGTGGGTGGTTAGGGGTTGGTCCCTCAGCCTGGCCTGTGCCCTCTCGCAGTCCTGGTTCTCACAGTCCAGGACCCCTTGCTCCTTACCTTCTGCCTGCAGCTGAGGTGGGAGAGGCTCCCGCCACCACTGCTGCGCTCAGCCATGAGACCGGCTTCTGGCTGAGCAGTGGTCCCCCTGTGGGAGCGCACTGACCACCAGGGGGCAGCTCCCGCATTGAGTGTCTGCCCCCTGGTGGTCAGTGTGCGTCATTGTGACCGGTCCTTCCTCCGTTTGGTCAACTTGCATATTATGCGTTTATTGTATAGGATAGTGTTGTCGGTGTGCACTATAGGTCCTTTTGCAGCAACATGAGGAAAGAATCCCAAATGCACACGTGTGGAGAAGTCTAAATGTGATGGTAAGATTTTATTATGAATTAAGGGGAAATAATACACCCTAGGGGACCTAGAGGGTGGACACTGCCCCGAGGCTTTTGTTAATCCTCCATATATCTTCTTGGTTTAGGACCTAAACTTTAGGTAAAGGACAAAGAACCATTGAAATTATCCAACCCAAATACCTAACTTTCGAGGGCTTGGATTGGGCTCTCCTCCCAGTAAATTCTATTGGGGTTTCATGCCCTCTATCCAACCCAATTACCTTTCCAATGGTCCCCACCCTAGGCCCTACCTCTCTATTTCATCACCCTGACTCCCACTGCGCATGTGCCCCAGCAGAGGAATTCCTCCCCCACCTCCAGTACAGGGCTTTTAGCATTTCTAAGGTTTCCTGTCCCATTCTGGATGGAGGCAGCCCCCCTAGAGTGTATTAATGGGTCTGTTTATAAGTAAGCTAGATGGAAATTCTGTTCTGTTACTTGTTCCTTCTTCCCAGTTTATGAAAATTATTTCATTCCCTTTTGCTTTCTTCCTTATATTAATGACTCTAACTGCCTATGCTGACAATATGATAGCTCTATTTTTAATTTTTGAGGAACTTCCATGCTGTTTACCAATTTACATTCCCACTAACAGTGCACAAGAGTTCCCTGTTCTCCACATCCTTGCCAACATTGTTATCTTGTCTTCTTGCTGATAGTTATTCTAACAGGTGTGAAGTACTATCTCACTGGGGTTCTGATTTTCATTTCTCTGATGATTAGTGATGTTGAACATCTTTTCCTAGGGCAGGGGTCATAATTCAATACAGCTGGTCCTGAGGTCAGTCATGGGGTCACTGGTCTGGTTTTGCTGCTTTTCTGGACCTGGAGCTGAAATACAACTGAGGCCTAAATGTTATCTCTAGGGAGGAAAGGTCAGAGGGTCAAAACCGCATGACCAGCGATATGCTAGGGGAGGAAAAGTCACCCTGGGGGCGAGGTCCCACCCTACAATTGTCCATTGCAAGGCGCCTGGGGCTTTCCACCCTCATGACCTTCTGTACCTGGCCCATCATCCTTGCTCTGCCTACCACATATAAGCATAAAATATTTTTTCATTTATTTGTATCCTCTTCAATTTCTTTCATCAATGCCTTATTGTTTTCAATGTATAGATGTTTCACCTCCTTGATTAAATCTATTCCTAAATGTTTTATTGTTTTTATGCTATTGTAAAATGGGATTGTTTTCTTTATTTCTCCTTCAGATATTTTGTTAGTGCAACTAAATTTCATGTTGATTTTGTGTCCTGGGATTGGATAAAGAGTAAAATGGAGAGACACATACTTCTTTTACATTGGTGGGTATAGGATAGTTAATAACGAACATTGACAGCACACAGAGATGTTATTCAGGGCAAGAAAACAATGAGGGGTTCTGTGGTCTCTTGCTCTGTTGTGGTGGCTGTGCCCTAAGGGGCCTTGAAAAGGTGAATACTCTGATATTTCATAGGTCTGTTTCTTAGATGCAAAAAGACAATAGACGGTCTCACTTACTGTGAAGATTGATCTTTGTCAAGGAAGCTACATCTTAGGATGTGACTATCCTCCCTGACTCATTTATAATTAGGAATTTTTGTATTTATTTTTAAAAATATATTTTCATTGATTTCTGAGAGGAAGGGAGAGGGAGAGAGAGGTAAAGACATCAATGATGAGAGAAAAATCATCGATTGGCTAACTCCCACTGGGGACTGAGCCTGCAACCCGGGCATGTACCCTGACCGGGAATCAAACCGTGACCTCCTGGTTCATAGGTCGATGCTCAACCACTGAGTCACACCGGCCAGACAGGAATTTTTGTCCAGACCACCTTATGTGGTTGCTGTCAGTCTCTGAGTTTAGAAGGCACATCATGCAGGCCTCCTCTGAGCTTGTCAGGTTTAGGATTTGGCCCCTTTTTCATCTATGTTACATGATGAAGTACTTTTGCATACTTGTCACGAACAGAAAATATTTAATCTCAGTTAGATGTCGATTAATTTCTTTATAATTATAAACAAATAATGTCAATCATTCTCATAATAACATTATAAGTGACTTATTTAGAACTTATTGGGCTAAGTTTACCACTCAGAAACTGAAAATATTTTACACAAAATTTTCATTATGAGGTATGTACTTCATTGTGTCATTTATGAAAAATCAGAACAATGAAACTGAGGAGAGAATGAAGAAACAAAACGGAGGTGCCATAGCTGAGCTAACAAAATTACTTAAATCAGAATGGGTTGAAACATGAATAGGTTTTATTTTACCTTACCTAGCCTGAGGACTTAAGCTTTTGGACTTTTCAGTTGTGTATCAGTGCCCGAGACAGGTATAAATCCGACAGATAACACTCTGAAGACCTGGGGAAGGAATGTGCGTGTGCACAGAACCCCTGACATCTATCTGGAAGATCTCCCTCTCAGCCATTCCAGAAGCTGAGGTGCAGGACGGAGCCCTCCCAGGAATGTACATTTTACTGTAAGTGTTACCAGTGCGAGGAGGAGACCCCAGTTCTTGTCTTCTGGAAGGAAAGATTTCAATCAAGAGACAAAGTGCAGCAGAGTAAGTAAGAATTTGTTGGCCACAGCAAAAATAGGTTTAGGACAGTGAAACAAGGAAGCGACAGGAGAGCCTAGCTGGGCTGAAGATAAGAATGCTAATGGATGCCAGGAGTAGAGGGTTTGTGCTGGGGTAGGGTAGGAGATAAAGGTGCCTGATAATTCAACATTTCCAACTCTTGAGAACGAAAATTTTTCTATGAAATGCCCGTAGCTCTCATTCTACTGAATTTTTAAGGGTGGGGCCTTTATCTTACCTACGCTGACATTTTCAGTGTCTCATACAGTGCTGAGATAGGGTATGTGGCCAAACAGCTGTAACCAATGAGGGCTACATGGAGGGCTCTATGCCTTAGAACTCGCAGAAGATCAGCTCCATCCAACATGGTGACTAATTTTACCTTATGGTAACCCCTAGCGTCATTGTAATACATTAGCGTAGTAAACAACACAACCCACAGCTGCCATGATCAGAAAGGGAAAGCCTACCTAAGAACACAACTTGGCCAAACAGATCTCTTCGGAGAAGTCTCCACCCTTGTCCTGGAAAAATCCTGAATAGTCCTTTCCCTTATCGAATACCCTACCCCTCAATTAAATCAGTCTGAATAAAAAGTAAATCCCACCAGGGAGGGGCTGCTCTGTCTGTGCAGTAGCCCCTCTGTCTCACTGCTTCACTAGTAAACTCCCTTTCACTTTAAGCTCTATGCTGGCTGGTATTTGAATTATTTCCTGTGCAAAGCTAAGAACCCACAGTGGGTTGCAGATCTGGTCCCCAGACCTCCAGAATGCCTTCATCAGTAATTTCTGGGCCTGGCACAGAAAAGGCATTCTGTATTTGTAGAATGAATGAATGAATGAATGAATGAGATTCATTCATTAAGTGAATTACTCAAGATTAAACAACTACTAAGTGTTAGAGTTATGACTGGAACAAATCATTGTTTTTACCCTATTCAGACATGAACTATAAAATATTATAGAATCATAATTTCTCCATCCTCCTTAGCTTTTGGGCGGGCCTTAAGAAATTGGTATTAAGGCTCTCCAGAGAAACAGAATCAATAGGATGTGTGTGTGTGTGTGTGTGTGTGTGTGTGTGTGTGTGTGTAGATAGAGGAGAGAGAGAGAGAGAGAGAGAGAGAGAGAGAGAGAGAGAGAGATTGTAAG